GAGAGAGAGAGAGAGAGAGAGAGAGAGAGAGAGAGAGAGAGAGAGTTCAAATGTTAAAAATTATAAAAATCCATTCGGATTGTTTGTTTTCTATTTTTGTGACTGAAACTCTTGCCTGAGCCATCTGTAAAGCTTGGTTTTAAGCTATACTGATTTGTTCTAGAAGATGTGGCAGGTATGAAACAAACGGCGTTCATTCGTGTGCTTGGTTCTTTGATGTTATTCCTGAATGATACCATAGTTTGCGATTGCTAATAGCTTGTTTGAATTGTAGCCATGTGGCAGCATGCTAGCCTCGTTGTAGATTCTTTTTACAAGGCCTGCCTTTGTAACATCAACGTACTGTCATTCTTTTCCAGATGGGGAGAGCACAAGAGCAAGCGGCAGAGAAGATATCAACCTTGAAGAAGCACATTGAGGAGCTGGAGGAGGATCTCTCTAAGACGTCATCTGCTTTGTCTGAAGTTTCTCAAGAGAGAGAGAGAATCTCTCAGGAGGCAGAGAGTGAAATATCATCTTTGAAACAAACAGTGGCTTCCCAGAGGTTAGTCCTCTTGTGTGCCCCAGTTAGTTGCCGCTTTGCTTGGAATCGCAGTAAACTGCCCGAACACGGTCTCAGCCTTGCAAGATTTCTTCATTGCCTACTACTAAAACTTCGCAATAAGCGATGAAGACATCAATGGCCAAAAAAAAGGAAAATGTGCTGCTGGCGGCTCGGCAAAGCTTGGCGCAGTGCGGCATTGCCAGAGGTGGGTGCACTGGTGGTTTAAGATTCGAAAGCGCTATCAACCTAACCAAATCATTTAACACGCGCTGATGCTTTGATAACGTACCGTTTTTGTTGCAGAGTGGAGATTGAAGAGGCACGAGCTCGGATCAATGTTCTGAAGCAGGATGTTGAGCGGCATCACAAGCAGTGGCGAGAGGCACAGAACAACTATGAACGGCAGGTACTGCTCTTCACAGCCCAATCATCTTAGGCAGAAGTGATCCAATCATGCAAAGAATGAAGCATATGCTTTCCTCCTTCCTGGACAGGGCATTGTGGGGAGTGGATGGATGATGAATATCACATTACGTAACTCTATGATTGTTGCGCCAGTAGTGGATGGATGATGAATATCACATTACCTAACTCTATGATTGTTGCGCCAGTCTTCCCCTTCTGCTTGTGTAGAAGGCAGGCTTTACAGGAGGGCGTGCTAGGCAATTAGTCTGGTGCTAGGAAGGGGGTTGAGGGAAGGGTGAGGACGGGTTTAGATGGGGTTGGGCGTGGTTCGGGGTTGGGAGGGGGAAGGGGGGGTTGCACTTGGAGATGGGGGATTGGACAAGTGGGAAGCTACCGGATCAGTCGTATGATTTTTGCCTATTTATCCAGTGACAAGGATAACCAGCCATCAGTGGTCCTCAGGTGACTGCAGCCAGACACCTGACTTCAGAACATCCGAAATTCAGTTACAGACCCAATCCAGCTCAGTATTGCTTCAGTTCCTGTTGATGAAAGATTTCCCTCCGTCTTCCACAGCATCTCATGGTCCATGGAATTGAATTCTACATAGACACGGTTGCTTTTTTATCACTTATGACTCTTGCAGCACGATTGACGAGAGACATACCCTGCTGGAAACTATTTTCAATGAAGGACATCCAAGATGCCGTGTGAGATGGCTTTCTGATTTTGACTGGCCAACCTTCAGAGAGTCGACATCCCAATAGTGAACAGAGTCGCCTTCTTATCATCTACCAACTCATCCAGCACACAATTGACAAAAGACATCTTCTGTCTGAAGCTAGTCTCGTGAATTAGTTTCACATCAAGAATGATACTGCCTGGGAGTACTTCCCAATTTTGTAAGGTCAAATGCTCAGACAATCAAGACCCGAACGGCAAACAGATTTTGCTTTTTTTTGCTCCACCGCCCCGTGGAGCACAACTGACAAGAGACATCCCCTGTCCGATATACGAGACTTCCAGGATTACTCCTGTCCTTTATCGGTCAAATCTTCGGACAATTACTTTTTTATCGGTCAAATCTTCAGACAATTACTTTCTTTTATCAGTGAAAAATTCAGACAACAAAAATCTTCAGACAGCGGGTCTGGGAGTTTGGGGCGTGCACAGGACCGCCCCGGGGACTGCCCCGATAAGTCTCCGGGGACTGGTCAGTTGCCACCGACCCGTTGGCCTGACTGGTGGGATGCACAATGGTCAGCCATGGGCTCCAATGCAATGCTCCACACCTCAGTTCAAAGTCCTATATTTCACAGAAGACCTCCAAGGTCATAGTACACCCTTTCAGCTCAAGATGCACAACTGCAAGTGTCTCTACCTTGCTTGCCGTGCCTTGGCAGAAAAGTTGACAAGAGAGTGTGATCACTCCGCAGTCAGTGCTGACTCAGCTGACCTGTGGCTCCTTAGAGTTTTGTAATCAACCTTTTGCTGTTGACTTGTGTTAGTAGTTACTGAACAACGTGTGTTTAGGGCATCAGGCCCCGCCGTGCACGCATGGCCTCGAACCGGCACCCTCAGCCTCAAGAACAAAGTAGTCTCGTGAGTCGTAACAATGTCTATGGACCTTGCCCGCCCTGCAAGCAGTGTACCGAAGGACACTTGGGCAATTGTTGTCGATATGTGTTGTCAAGACCATGTCTCTGGACCTTGCCTGGCCTCCAAGCAGTGTATCAAAGGACACTCAAGCCGCTGTGCCTAGCAGACTTACCTGAAGAAGGGACCCGTAAGGGATGGAACTGAGAAGAAACCCTGGCTGTTTTGATGGGTGACTTGGGTCTATTAACTTTGCCATTTTCATTACCTGTGTGCACTGTGCTTTCTTCTCTAACCACGAGTTCAGGCCCCAGCCATTTTGCACAACTCACTAGAATACCCGAAACGAGTATGCTGTGCCAGCGCAGGCCCGGCACTGACGGGGCTGTGAATGTCGAGAGGGCCGCACTTGGGCCCGAAAAGTTTTGGACGCCGCGTCATGGTCTCGTGTGATGTCTATGAGAGGCCCGATTTTCGTTTACCCAAGGGCAAGCGGACAAACGGCAGGTGTGAAACAAAACGGGTGAGGGGAGACAACCTCGAAAGAACTGAAAATCAGAATTTATTGAAAGTTTGAAACCACTGAAAAAGAAGACCATGCCACCCGGGTTGTAGGCCATCTCCGACTCACCACCCTACAAGCGAACCAAATAAAAACTGATTGCATCTTCCCACAGAAAGTGGCAACATACATTCATGACAATACATAGTGACAGGTATATGTTGCCACCTGCTATGGGAAGATGCACTCACTTTTGCTTTTTGTTTGTGTGTGTCATGTGGTGGGGCCCTATGTTGACATAGGCCACGAACGAAGCCTGCAAGAGGGAGCGAGGGAACGAGAGTGGAGGATATATGTTGATGAGAGAGAGAGAGAGAGAGAGAGAGAGAGAGAGAGAGAGAGAGAGAGAGAGAGAGACGGGAACTTTGGAGCACGCTCACACTTCTGTGGGGTGCTCAAGCAGGAGCAGCACCTGGCGACGCGGGTGTGGTAGTGGCAGCGATGGCAGGAGCAAAAAGGAGGGGGAGGAGAGAGAGAGAGAGAGAGAGAGAGAGAGAGAGAGAGAGAGAGAGAGAGAGAGAGAGAGAGAGAGAGAGAGAGAG